AAAAAAAAAAAAAGAAAATCACATTTCACTACGAATAAAATACCACCATACTGGCCTGACAGGGATCTTCTTCCCTCTGCCTCTGGAATGCTGAGATAAAAGGTGTGCACCATCACACACAGCTGTGGAGTCTTTAAACAGAATCATATCATCTGCAAATAGTGAACATTTGATTTTTCTTAAAAAAGAAAGTGTGTGTGTGCAACATGATGTATGATGGGGTCCCAATGACAATACAGGTTGCTGGACTTGGAGGCATTCACCCTGCTGAACCAGCATTTTACCCCAACTTCTTTTTTTTTTCTTTTTTCTTTTTTTCCCTTTTATTTTATTTTACAATACCATTCAGTTCTACATATCAGCCACGGGTTCCCCTATTCTCCCCCCTCCCACCCCCTCCCCATACCCCCAGCTCACCCCCCATTTCCACCTCCTCCAGGGCAAAGCCTCCCCCGAGGACTGCGATCAACCTGGTAGACTCAGTTCAGGCAGGTCCAGTCCTCTCCTCCCAGACTGAGCCAAGCGTCCCTGCATAAGCCCCAAGTTTCAAACAGCCAACTCATGCAATGAGCACAGGACTCGGTCCCACTGCCTAGTTGCCTCCCAAACAGATCAAGCCAATCAACTGTCTCACCTATTCAGAGGGCCTGATCCAGCTGGGGGCCCCTCAGCCTTTGGTTCATAGTTCATGTGTTTCCATTCATTTGGCTATTTTTTTTTCAAAAATTGAGTAAAACCGAAATTTATTATAAGCCACAGTCGTCCTAGGGACCTCCATGCTATATGTATAGCCTCCATGGTTCTATGGGTTGTGGTCTGATTGTTCTTTATTTTATATCTAGAATCCACTTATGAATGAGTACATACCATGACTGTCTTTCTGGGTTTGGGTTACCTCACTCAGGATGATTTTTTCTAGTTCCATCCATTTGCCTGCAAATTTCATGCTTTCATTGTTTTTCTCTGCTGAGTAGTACTCCATTGTGTATATGTACCACATTTTTTTCATCCATTCTTCCGTTGATGGGCATCTAGGTTGTTTCCAGGTTCTGGCTATTACAAATAGTGCTGCTATGAACATAGCTGAGCAAGTATCTTTATGGTATGAATCAGTATTCCTTGGGTATATGCCCAAGAGTGGGATGGCTGGGTCTTGAGGTAGTTCGATTCCTAATTTTCTGAGAAACCGCCATACTGATTTCCACAGTGGTTGTACAAGTTTGCATTCCCACCAACAGTGGAGGAGTGTTCCCTTTGCTCCACATCCTCTCCAACATTGACTGTCATTGGTGTTTTTGATCGTAGCCATTCTGACAGGTGTAAGGTGGTATCTCAGAGTCGTTTTGATTTGCATTTCTCTGATGATTAAGGATTTACCCCAACTTCTTATTGGCATCTTTTTTTTTTTTTGGTCGTATAAAACTTCAGCACAATTTGAATAAGAGTAGAAAAGTAGGTATCCTTGTCTCTGTCCCAATTTTAGAAAAAAAACGCCTTCAGTTTGTCTACATTTTCTACGTGGTTTGTCATGTATAGCCTTCTATGGTTAAGTATGTTCCACCTGTTCCCAATTTTTTCAAGACTTATTTTTTTTTTCTTTTCAAGACAAAGTTTTTCTGTGTAGCTCAGGCTGTCCTGGAACTCCATTTGTAGGCTAGGCTGGCCTCCAACTCACAGAGATCCATGTACCTCTGCCTCCCAAGTGTTGGGATTAAAGACATGTACCACCAAAAAGATTTTATATATGTATGAATGACATTTTACTTTTTTTAAATTGTATTTTTATTTTTATGTGCATTGGTGTTTTGCTATGGGTGTCAGGTCCCCTGGAACTGGAATTACAGACAGTTGTGAGCTGCCATGTGGGTTCTGGGAGTTGAACCTGGGTCCCCTGGAAGAGCAATCAGTGCTCTTAACCACTGAGCCATCTCTCTAGCCCCCGTCCCCTTTTTTTTTTACATTTTATTCAGTCATTTTCTTTTCCTTTTTTTTTTTTCCGAGACAGGATTTATCCACGCAGTTTTGGTGCCTTTCCTGGAACTCACTCTGTAGACCAGGCTGGCCTCGAACTCACAGAGATCCGCCTGCCTCTGCCTCCTGAGTGCTGGGATTAAAGGCGTGCGTCACCACCACCTGGCCAGTCATTTTCTTTACAACTGAAATTCTGGGAATTCTAAGTTACCATCCTTGCCCGTGAGCTTCTTATACACAACAGAAAAAGTTCCAACCTTGTGTTTCATGTTGTTCTGCTGTCAGCAAAAAAAATTTTAAAGATTTTTCATTTTTTTTTTTTTTTTTTTTTGGTTTTTCGAGACAGGGTTTCTCTGCGTAGCTTTGCGCCTTTCCTGGAGCTCACTTGGTAGCCCAGGCTGGCCTCGAACTCACAGAGATCCGCCTGGCTCTGCCTCCCGAGTGCTGGGATTAAAGGCGTGCGCCACCACCGCCCGGCTAAGATTTTTCATTTTTAATTTGATGTGGGTGCTAGGAAGCAAAGTCAGGTTCTCTGAAAGAACAGCATGTGTTCTTTAGTGCTGAGCCACCGCTCTAGCTCCTATGACTTAAAAAATTTAATTATTGCCAGGCAGTGGTGGCGCCTTTAATCCCAGCACTTGGGAGGCAGAGGCAGGTGGGTCTCTGTGAGTTCGAGGCCAGCCTGGTCTACAGAGCGAGATCCAGGAAAGGCACAAAGCTACACAGAGAAACCCTGTCTCGACACAACAACAACAAAAATATTTATTTAGCGTGTGTGTGGCATGTATGTGGAGGTGAAAAGACATGGGAGTCATTTCTCTTCTTCCACGTACATTCTGGATAGCGAATCTAGGTTGTCAGGCTTGGCAGCAAGTGCTTTCATCCACTGAGCTATCTCAGCAGCCTTTCTTCAGGACTTTACCATGACGGAATGCTGAACTCTGTCAAATGCCTTTTTTGCATCTATTGAAACAATCCGGTGATCATTCTGTCCTAATATGTATTTATATGATGCATTACATGTACTTATTTGCATATGTTGAACCAATGCTGCATCTCTGGGATGAATACAACTTATTTATGTGTATGTTTTGTCTGTGCATTGCATGTGTTCAGTGCCTGCAGTGGCCAAAAGAGGGCAGTGGAGCTCCTGGGATGAGTTTTACAGATAGTTATGAACTGCCTTTTGGGTTCTGGGAATTGAACCAGATCCTCTGGAGAA